AATCCCCTCCTCTCTCCTCTTTGTTTTGAGTCATTTGACCAATCCCCTCCTCTCTTCCCCCTGTTTTGAGTCATTTGACCAATCCCCTACTCTCTCCCCTCTGTTTTGAGTCATTTGACCAATCCCCTCATCTCTCCTATTCGTTTTGAGTCATTTAACCAATTCCCTCCTCTCTCCTCTTTGTTTCGAGTCATTTCACCAATCCCCTCCTCTCTCTCCTCTTTGTTTTGAGTCATTTGACCAATCCCCTCCTCTCTCCCCTCAGTTTTGAGTCATTTCACCAATCCCCTCCTCTCTCCTCTCTGTTTTGAGTCATTTGACCAATCCCCTCCTCTCTCCTATTTGTTTGGAGTCATTTGTCCAATCCCCTCCTCTCTCCTATTTGTTTTGAGTCATTTGACCAATCCCCTCCTCTCTCTCTGTTTTGAGTCATTTCACCTATCCCCTCCTCTCTCCTCTTTGTTTCGACTCATTTGACCAATCCCCTCCTCTCTCCCCTCAGTTTTGAGTCTTTTCACCAATCCCCTCCTCTCTCCTCTTTGTTTTGAGTCATTTGACCAATCCCCTCGTCTCTCCCCTCTGTTTTGAATCATTTGACCAATCCCCTCCTATCTCCCCTCTGTTCTGAGTCATTTGACCAATCCCCTCTTCTCTCCCCTCTGTTTTGAGCCATTTGACCAATCCCCTCCTCTCTCCCCTTTGTTTTGAGTAATTTGACCAATACCTTCCTCTCTCCTCTTTGTTTTGAGTCATTTGACCAATCCCCTCCTCTCTCCCCTCTGTTTTGAGTCATTTGACCAATCCCCTCCTCTCTCCTCTTTGTTTTGAGACATTTGACCAATCCCCTCCTCTCTTCCCCCTGTTTTGAGTCATTTGACCAATCCCCTACTCTCTCCCCTCTGTTTTGAGTAATTTGACCAATCCCCTACTCTCTCCCCTCTGTTTTGAGTAATTTGACCAATCCCCTCTTCTCTCCTCTTTGTTTTGAGTCATTTGACCAATCCCCTCCTCTCTTCCCCCTGTTTTGAGTCATTTTACCAATCCCCTACTCTCTCCCCTCTGTTTTGAGTCATTTGATCAATCCCCTCATCTCTCCTATTCGTTTTGAGTCATTTAACCAATTCCATCCTCTCTCCTCTTTGTTTCGAGTCATTTCACCAATCCCCTCCTCTCTCTCCTCTTTGTTTTGAGTCATTTGACCAATCCCCTCCTCTCTCCCCTCAGTTTTGAGTCATTTCACCAATCCCCTCCTCTCTCCTCTCTGTTTTGAGTCATTTGACCAATCCCCTCCTCTCTCCTCTTTGTTTTGAGTCATTTGACCAATCCCCTCCTCTGTCATATTTGTTTTGAGTCATTTGACAAATCCCCTCCTCTCTCCCCTCTGTTTTGAATCATTTGACTAATCCCCTCCTCTCTCCCCTCTGTTTTGAGTCATTTGACCAATCCCCTCTTCTCTCCCCTCGGTTTGAGCCATTTGACCAATCCCCTCCTCTCTCCTCTTTGTTTTGAGTCATTTGACGAATCCCCTCCTCTCTCCTATTTGTTTTGAGTCATTTGACCAATCCCCTCCTCTCTCTTTGTTTTGAGTCATTTCACATATCCCCTCCTCTCTCCTCTTTGATTTGACTCATTTGACCAATCCCCTCCTCTCTCCCCTCAGTTTTGAGTAATTTGACCAATCCCCTCCTCTCTCCTCTTTGTTTTGAGTAATTTGACCAATCCCCTCCTCTCTCCTCTTTGTTTTGAGTCATTTGACCAATCCCCTCCTCTCTCCCCTCTGTTTTGAATCATTTGTCCAGTCCCCTCCTCTCTCCCCTCTGTTTTGAGTCATTTGACCAATCCCCTCTTCTCTCTCCTCTGTTTTGAGCCATTTGACCAATCCCCTCCTCTCTCCTCTTTGTTTTGAGTCATTTCACCAATCCCCTCCTCTCTCCCCTTTGTTTTGAGTCATTTGACCAATCCCCTCCTCTCTCCTCTTTGTTTTGAGCCATTTGACCAATCCCCTCCTCTCTCCCCTCTGTTTTGAGTCATTTGACCAATCCCCTCCTCTCTCCTCTTTGTTTTGAGTCATTTGACCAATCCCCTCCTCTTTTCCCCCTGTTTTGAGTCATTTGACCAATCCCCTACTCTCTTCCCTCTGTTTTGAGTCCTTTGACCAATCCTCTCCTCTCTCCTCTGTTTTGAGTTATTTGACCAATCCCCTCCTCTCTCCTATTTGTTTTGAGTCATTTAACCAATTCCCTCCTCTCTCCTCTTTGTTTTGAGTCATTTGACAAATCCCCTCCTCCCTCCCCTCTGTTTTGAGTCATTTGACCAACGCCTCATCTCCCCTCCCCTCCCCTCTCCTCCCTCCCTCCCTCCCTCCCTCCCTCCCTCCCTCCCCGTGTTTCAGCAGCTGCCAGCGGGGCGTGACAGTGCAGCACGGGGCGGGGCAGGCTGACGCGCACGCCCACGTGGTAAGAGCGAACCAGAACGATGCATGAATGTATGAACACAAAAGCAAAACAATGTACTAGGGCACATTAAAATCATGTGCCTTCTCATTCCCTCAAGGTGCCTTGCCGTTCCCTGCATGATGCTTTCTCATTCCTTGCATGATGCCATTTTCCTCCCCTTTCCAGCAGGTGCCAGTGCAAGGCATAATGTTTTGAGGTGTCACACTCAACACCTCCCCTCTGTCCTCCCGTTTCCAGCAGGTGCCAGTGCAGCGCATGTTGATTGAAGAGGTCTCACTCACCCCGTCCCCTCTTTCCATCCCAAAATTTCCTGTTTGTTTGTTTGTTTGTTTGTCTGTTTCAGTTTGTTTTGCTTGCTTGTTTGTTGTTCCTGTGTGCATTCTTTGCTCAAGGGGGGGGTGTAAGGGGGCATGGGGAACTGTGAGACGTCCAAGCCACCCTCTCCCCTCCCCTTTCTGCCAGCTGCCAGTGCAGCGCCTGCCCATTTGAGCTTGTCTCACCCACCCCCTCCCCTCTTTTCCCACTTTACCCCTTCTGCCAGGTGCCTTCTCATGCCCTGCAAGGTGCCTTCGCATGTTGCACGGTGCCTTCACATGCCCTGCATGGTGCCTGTTCATGCCCTGGCTGGTGGATTGCATTCCCTGCATGGTGACTTTCATTTCCTGCCAGGTAAGGGGGTAAGGGGATTTAGGGTGCTCCCCCCGCTCACTTGCCCTGCTCCCCCCGCTCACTTGCTCTGCTCCCCCACCCCAACTCCTCCCCTGCCCTTGCGCAGGTGCCAGTTTCTCCTGTCGCCAAGATGAAGATACTTTGCACAGGGAGCAGATGCGTTGCCAGCTGCTTGTGTGGCCGTCCCTCATCATCCATGCGCGGGACATGAGAGAGAACAAGGGAGAGAAACAGAAGCAGGGGGAGGGGGGGGGGGGGGAAGTGCAGGTTTGGTTTGGGCCAGGTTTGGGATATGAAAGAGTGGCAGAAACGGAAACAGGGAGTAGATGCGTTGCCACCTGCTTGTGTTCAGCCATGCGCAGGGCTGAGGTGCCACCAAACCTGCACTCCCCCCCCCCCCCCCTCCCCCTGCTTCTGTTTCTCTCCCTTGTTCTCTCTCATGTCCCGCGCATGGATGATGAGGGACGGCCACACAAGCAGCTGGCAACGCATCTGCTCCCTGTGCAAAGTATCTTCATCTTGGCGACAGGAGAAACTGGCACCACGCGCAATCCCACGTTCAGCCATGCGCAGGGCAGGACACGAGGGAGAAGAAGAGAGAGAAACAGACGCACAAGGAGGGAGCGCATGTGCCATTTTCTCCTGTCGACAACATGAGGCTATTTGCTACGACACGTAGAGTGATAGATGACTTATAGATTTGATGACCTAGCGAATGTGAATGTATGTGCTTGTTATTATATACGCAGGCGGGCAGAGAACGGGGGGAGGGGTGAGGGAAAAGGGAGGGGAGTGGGGAGCAGAAGCAGAACAGAAGAGGGAGTGGTGGATGAGCTCCTGGCTCTCTGTGCTGTGCGCCCCTCCCTGGTTGGCCATGCCATGCCATGCCATGCCATGCCATGCCATGCCATGCCATGCCATGCCCGGGAGGGATATGATAGATAGGAAGCACAAAGTAGAAGCAGAAGCAGGAATGTGATATGACAGGGAGCAGATATGCATGGGCCATGCCCAGGGATTTCCAGGGCGGTTCGAGGGGGGCTGTGAGGGGCTGTGCGGAGAATTGGGGGGTAGGGGGGCCTTAGGGGGGCCTTGGGGGGGCTGTGGGGGGGTTTTTTCAGGATTTTAGGGGGGTTTTCTTCCCCTCTCTTGTACCCCATTTCTGCTCATTAACCAATCACAAGCAAGCTTTCTGCCATCACCTTTCCGATTACGCTCATGTTGTCGCCTTGCCGCCTGAGGAGGGGGAGGGGAGTAAGGGGGGAAGGGAGAGGAGAGCAGAAGGGAGAGCAAGGGGGGATGAGAGAGACGATATGCGCTGCTTGTTTTGATTTGCACACAGAAGGAGAGTGTGAGAAGGAGAGTGAGAGAAGGAGGGTGTGAGAAGGAGAGTGTGAGAAGGAGTGCCATACAGTGAAGTACTCGGGTATCTTGGGCACTGCAAAGCAGAAGCGTTGCAAGGAATGTGATCAAGATGATCCAGGTGGTCCGGGGCCCTCCTCCTGAAATACGTATGTCAAGATGTTGACCAGAGTGGGAGCCAGGGCAGTGTATGTAAGGGGTGGTGTATGTAGGGGTGGGCAGGGCAGGTGCAAACGTAGGGGATAATGAGTGACAGAAACTGAAGGGAGAGTGAGAATTGAATCAAAGAGGGGGAGAAAGAAGAAAAGTGGCACAAGTTCACTACAGGTAGGCAGGATAAGTGACCAGCACAGGGGGGTGAAGTGACAAGGGCAGGGGGGTGAAGTGACAAGGGCAGGGGGGTGAAGTGACAAGGGCAGGGGGGTGAAGTGACGAGGGCAGGGGGGTGAAGTGACAAGGGCAGGGGGGTGAAGTGACAAGGGCAGGGGGGTGAAGTGATGAGACGTGCTTTCCTCACACCCACTGCCCCACACCCACTGCCCCACACCCACTGCCCCACACCCACTGCCCCACACCCACTGCCCCACACCCACTGCCTCACTCCCACTGCCCCACACCCACTGCCCCACACCCACTGCCCCACACCCACTGCCTCACTCCCACTGCCCCACACCCACTGCCCCACACCCACTGCCCCACACCCACTGCCCCACACCCACTGCCCCACACCCACTGCCCCACACCCACTGCCCCACACCCACTGCCCCACACCCACTACCCCACACCCACCGAGTGGCTGACTGCTGGGTGGCCTTGGCATGCCGCAGCACCGCCTCTGCCAACTCACACGGCGACACCCTTCCCTGCTCTCCCCCTGCCTCCCCTTTCTCCCCCTCCCCTCCCTGTCCCTCCTTCTCCGGTTCCTTCTCTCCTCCTCCTGTAACCTCTTCCTCCTGCTCTTTCTCCTGCTCCTTTTCCCCGGCCTTATCCCCCTCCTTCCCCTCCTTGTCTCCTTCACCCTTCTCCTCCTCCTTTTCCCCTTCCTCCGTCTTCCCCACCTCCTCCTTCTCACCCTCCTCCTCCTTCTCCTCTCCCTCCTCCAACTGCTTTCCTCCCTTCTCTCCCTTCCCCCCCTTCCTGGCATCCTCTCTAATCCTCACGAACAGCAGTGCCTTGCACCCAGACTCCACACTCACGAACCGAGGCTGAGGGACGTCAAGGGGCGGGCGAATGGTAGGGGCAAGGGGAGGGAGAAAGACGAGTGGAGGGAGAAAGACGAGCGGAGGGAGAGGAGACGTGATTGGAAATTGCACTGAGCATTCTCACGAACAGCAGCGCCTTGCACCCAGAGTCCACACTCGCGAACCAAGGCTGTGGGATGTCGAGGGGAGGGCGAACAGCAGGGGCAAGGGGAGGGAGAAAGACGAGCAGAGAAAGGGGAGTGAGAGGGAGAGGGAGGGGTGATGATGGATCCTCAGAAACAGCGGCGCCTTGCACCTAGACTCCACACTCACAAACCGAGGCTGAGAGGGAAGGGGAGGGACAAGACGAGGGACAAAGGAAAAAAAAAAAAACGTTTTTTCTCAAACAGCAGTGCCTTGCACCCAGACTCCACACTCACAAACCGAGGCTGCGGGATGTCAAGGGGCGGGCGAACAGGAGGGGCGAGGGGAGGGCAAACGGTAGGGGCAAGGGGAGGGAGAAAGACGATGGGAGAGAGAGGAGGAGCGATAAGGGTTTCCACTTAGCATTCTCGCAAACAGCGGCGCCTTGCAGCCAGCAAGAGTCCAAACAGCAGCGCCTTGCAGCCAGCGAGACTCCACACCCCGAAGTGAGACCAGGTGAGAGCGTTCAGTCAGGTGACTTTTGAGTCGACTCAAAAGTCACCAGGTGAGAGCGTTCAGGACAAGGGGAGGGACAAGACGAGGGGCAAGGGGAGGAAGAGGGAGGGAAAAGAGGATTGCGAGAGAGGGAAGTGATGGGTGTTTGTGCTGGGCATTTATGCGAACAGCAGCGCCTTGCACCCAGACTACACACTCATGAACCGAGGCTGAGGGGCATGCACAAGGAAGGGAGGGAGAAGAGAAAGGAGGGAACAAGGAGGCGAGGATGCACAAGGGGAACAAAACAGGGGCACCTGGTAGCCTGAGACGTCTCAAAACAGGGGCACCTGGTAGCCTGAGACGTCTCAAAACAGGGGCACCTGGTAGCCTGAGGTCACGATTGCAATCGAGCCTGGGGGACACAGGGAGAGGGAGGGATACGAGGGGAGGGAGTGGGAGGGAGATAAGGGGAGGGTGAAGGAACAACAAGGGGAAAGGAGGGAAAAGGCACCCACCTACCCATCCCACGCACCTGTGAGCCGCTGCAAAACACACACACCTGTTTCCTCAACCCCCTCTCCACACGCACGCACCTGTTTCTTGAGTGCTGCCACTTCATTCGCCAGCAGCGCATCGATGGACGAACCCCCCTTCGCCTTCCCTGCAGATGCACCTTCCCCAGTCCGTGCCTCCCCCTCCCCCTCCCCCTGCGCCTTGCCAGCCTCCAGCTTGTCACACCACTGTGTGTGGGGCAAACAGGGATAAAGCAACATCATCTCAGTCAGATAAGCCCTCCCCAGCCGCCTTCCCCAGTGCTTGCCTCCCCCTCAGCCCGCACCTTCATGGGCACCAGATTGTCGCTCAACGGTGTGTGGGGCAAGCAGTGGAGATGGAAGGAGTAGGAACAACATCAGCTCAGTTAGAAAAGCCCTCCCCAGCCACCTTCCCCAGTGCTTGCCTCACCCTACCCGTTCCTCTGCGCCTTGCTGCCTCCAGCTTGTCACACCACTGTGTGTGGGGCGAACAGAGGAGAAAGCAACATCAGCTCAGTCAGATAAGCCCTCCCCAGCCACCTTCCCCAGTGCTTGCCTCCCCCTCAGCCCGCGCCTTCACGGGCACCAGCTTGCCGCCGCACAACGGCGTGTGGGGCAAGCAGGGGAGATGGAAGGAAGAAAAGCAAAAACAGCTCAGTCAGATAGGCCCTCCACAACCACTTTCCCCAGTGCTTGCCCAGTCATCTATCTACCTACCCTCCAGGTTCTATCGTTTGCCTGTGCGCCCCACTCACCTCCTTGCCACCTCACCTCATCAAGCTGATCCCCTGTGCATGTCACCTCACAAGCTGATCTCCTGATCACCTCTTACCACCCCCCCCACCCCTCCTCTCCCTCACTGTGTGCTCGTGCCTCACCTCATCGAGCACGTTCACAATCTCCCGCCCGCACTCTCTCTCCCTGCCGGTCACACTCGACACCAGCCACCCCCTGCTGCCATTCGCGATAGGGCCCGCTCCCCCTCCACTCTGAGGCGCACGAGAGGGAGGCGCCGAAGAGGGAAGGAGGAGGATCAAAGGAACAATTTACTTTGTTTCGACTCCAACAACAACAAGCCCGCACTCTCTCTCCCTGCTGGTCACACTCCACACCAGCCACCCCCTGTTGCCATTCGCGATGGGGCCCGCTCCCCCTCCACTCTGAGGCGCACGAGAGGGAGGAGCAGAAGGGGGAGGGGCACGAGGGGGAGGGGCGGAGCAGAAGGAGCAGAGGGGGGAGGAGCAGAAGACGGATGAGCAGAGGGGGGAGGAGAAGAATGGGGAGGAGGAGAAGGGGGAGGAGGAGAAATGGGGGAGGGGAGAAGGGTGAGGAGGAACAGCAGGTGGGGGCACAGAAGGGAGAGGAGGAGAGGAGCAGAAGGGGGGGGAGCAGAAGTAAGAAACGGTTGCAAACCACCTCCAATCCCTCCCCCTGCCAGCCCCCTTGCTGCCATACATTCTGGGCGCCGCCTTCCCCCCATTCTGGATCATAGGGTTTAGGGTGAAGGAGCAAAGGAAGAAACAATCGATCCTTCACCTGCACTCTCGCTCCCTGCCTGCTGCTGCCCGCCGCCACTTCGAAAGAGGAGATCGAGGTTGGGGTTTTGGGTGCATGGGAGAGAGCGAGCAACAACAAAGGGTTTCGGGTTTTGGGTGCATGGGAGAGAGCGAGCAACAACCAAGAGTTTCGGGTTTTGGTTGCATGGCAACGGAGATTCGTGGGCCGGGATGTGGGAGGGAAGAGAGACGGCGGGGGTGGGGGGAGGGGAAGGGGGACAGCAGGGGTGGGGGGAGGGGAAGGGGGACAGCGGGCGACACGGGCCGGACGGGTGAGGACCAGAGTAGAGAGGCGACGGCGGGAAAATCCGCTCTGTGTAAGACCAAGTGCTCAAAGCGATATCAGGACCAGAGGGGAGAGGCGACAGCGGAAAAATCTGCTCTGTGTAAACCTAAGTGATCAAGGCGATCTCAGGACCAGAGGGGAGAGGCGGCGCCGTGGGAGCACACGATGGGAGGAGGAGAAGAGAAGGGGGGAGGGAAGACGGAGGTGTGTGCGCGAGCGGGAGGAGAGGGCACGAAAGGAAAGGGGGGGAAGGGGTTGAAGAGGAAGGGCGGGAAGTGGGGCGGATCGGGCTGGTGAGCGCACGCCGCCGCGGAGATCACAGCGGCGACGCCGCCAAGATCATAGCAGCGGCGACGCGCAACGGATGCTGCCGCGACTCGCGACCGAAACGCGACTGAACGCGCCTGCAGAATTGTCGCTGATTATCGTCGTTATTCGTCTGTCAGCCAAGAAAAACATTGGTACACGCCTGCCGGGCGGTTTATGTTGACTAATGCGTCGCGACATAAGTTTAAAGGCTCACAGCGTTCAGGTATCGCGACTTGTGCCGCTTCGATTTCCCCCGACCTCCATTACCGCTCCGATTGCCCTCCGCCTCGCGCTTTCCGCGACCCATGTGCGATTGTATGGCCGTGGCTACCGATCAAACGAGGGGAACGGTCAGGGGCTGATGTTTACCACAGAATATATAACAACTTATACAAATTCTCTCCAGACCAGTAGCACAAACCTCCAATCATAGATGATTAGCGGGGATCAATGCCCGCCTGGTTCTTTTGTTTTATCCACCTCAAGGCTCCGTTTCCATTCAAATCTTATCTAAAGGTGTTTTCTTACTGCTCTGGGGCATTCTTCTTTCATATCATACTCGTCGTCGCATCCCTTCTTGTTGTAAGCCTTAACCATCTTGACTGGTTTTTTCCGGACGTGCTTGTCGTCTACACCTTCGTTGTGTTGCTTCGTTGGTGTAGGAGATTTTTCTTTACTGGCACACCTCGACCATCACACTGGCACGCCCCATGCCCTGTCACCTCACCCATGTGCTCTACAGCAGGGCTACTGGCGTCACGCCCCACCACCAGCACCAGGCTATCAGCAGCGAGTCCAGCACCCACACACCCCGTGCCCTGCTCTGCTGCACCACTCACCTGCTCTGCTGCACCACTCACCTGCTCTGCCGCACCACTCACCTGCTCTGCTGCACCACTCACCTGCTCTGCCGCACCACTCACCTGCTCTGCTGCACCACTCACCTGCTCTGCCGCACCACTCACCTGCTCTGCTGCACCACTCACCTGCTCTGCTGCACCACTCACCTGCTCTGCTGCACCACTCACCTGCTCTGCCGCATCACTCACCTGCTCTGCCGCACCACTCACCTGCTCTGCTGCACCACTCACCTGCTCTGCTGCACCACTCACCTGCTCTGCTGCACCACTCACCTGCTCTGCCGCACCACTCACCTGCTCTGCCGCACCACTCACCTGCTCTGCCGCACCACTCACCCGCTCTGCCGCACCACTCACCCGCTCTGCCGCACCACTCACCCGCTCTGCTGCACCACTCACCCGCTCTGCTGCACCACTCACCTGCTCTGCCGCACCACTCACCTGCTCTGCTGCACCACTCACCCGCTCTGCTGCACCACTCACCCGCTCTGCCGCACCACTCACCCGCTCTGCCGCACCACTCACCCGCTCTGCCGCACCACTCACCCGCTCTGCCGCACCACTCACCCGCTCTGCCGCACCACTCACCCGCTCTGCCGCGCCACTCACCCGCTCTGCCGCGCCACTCACCCGCTCTGCCGCACCACTCACCCGCTCTGCCGCACCACTCACCCGCTCTGCCGCACCACTCACCCGCTCTGCCGCACCACTCACCCGCTCTGCCGCACCACTCACCCGCTCTGCCGCACCACTCACCCGCTCTGCCGCACCACTCACCCGCTCTGCCGCACCACTCACCTGCTCTGCCGCACCACTCACCTGCTCTGCCGCACCACTCACCTGCTCTGCCGCACCACTCACCTGCTCTGCCGCACCACTCACCTGCTCTGCCGCACCACTCACCTGCTCTGCCGCACCACTCACCTGCTCTGCCGCACCACTCACCTGCTCTGCCGCACCACTCACCTGCTCTGCTGCACCACTCACCTGCTCTGCTGCACCACTCACCTGCTCTGCCGCACCACTCACCTGCTCTGCTGCACCACTCACCTGCTCTGCTGCACCACTCACCTGCTCTGCCGCACCACTCACCTGCTCTGCTGCACCACTCACCTGCTCTGCCGCACCACTCACCCGCTCTGCTGCACCACTGACCTGCTCTGCTGCACCACTCACCTGCTCTGCCGCACCACCCACCTGCTCTGCCGCACCACTCACCTGCTCTGCCGCACCACTCACCTGCTCTGCCGCACCACTCACCTGCTCTGCTGCACCACTCACCTGCTCTGCCGCACCACTCACCTGCTCTGCCGCACCACTCACCTGCTCTGCTGCACCACTCACCTGCTCTGCCGCACCACTCACCTGCTCTGCCGCACCACTCACCTGCTCTGCCGCACCACTCACCTGCTCTGCCGCACCACTCACCTGCTCTGCCGCACCACTCACCTGCTCTGCTGCACCACTCACCTGCTCTGCCGCACCACTCACCTGCTCTGCTGCACCACTGACCTGCTCTGCTGCACCACTCACCTGCTCTGCCACACCACCCACCTGCTCTGCCGCACCACTCACCTGCTCTGCCGCACCACTCACCTGCTCTGCCGCACCACTCACCTGCTCTGCTGCACCACTCACCTGCTCTGCCGCACCACTCACCTGCTCTGCCGCACCACTCACCTGCTCTGCTGCACCACTCACCTGCTCTGCCGCACCACTCACCTGCTCTGCTGCACCACTCACCTGCTCTGCCGCACCACTCACCTGCTCTGCCGCACCACTCACCTGCTCTGCTGCACCACTCACCTGCTCTGCCGCACCACTCACCTGCTCTGCCGCACCACTCACCTGCTCTGCCGCACCACTCACCTGCTCTGCCGCACCACTCACCTGCTCTGCCGCACCACTCACCTGCTCTGCCGCACCACTCACCTGCTCTGCCGCACCACTCACCTGCTCTGCTGCACCACTCACCTGCTCTGCCGCACCACTCACCTGCTCTGCCGCACCACTCACCTGCTCTGCCGCACCACTCACCTGCTCTGCCGCACCACTCACCTGCTCTGCCGCACCACTCACCTGCTCTGCTGCACCACTCACCTGCTCTGCCGCACCACTCACCTGCTCTGCTGCACCACTCACCTGCTCTGCTGCACCACTCACCTGCTCTGCTGCACCACTCACCTGCTCTGCCGCACCACTCACCTGCTCTGCCGCACCACTCACCTGCTCTGCTGCACCACTCACCTGCTCTGCCGCACCACTCACCTGCTCTGCCGCACCACTCACCTGCTCTGCTGCACCACTCACCTGCTCTGCTGCACCACTCACCTGCTCTGCTGCACCACTCACCTGCTCTGCTGCACCACTCACCTGCTCTGCCGCACCACTCACCTGCTCTGCTGCACCACTGACCTGCTCTACTGCACCACTCACCTGCTCTGCCGCACCACCCACCTGCTCTGCCGCACCACTCACCTGCTCTGCCGCACCACTCACCTGCTCTGCCGCACCACTCACCTGCTCTGCTGCACCACTCACCTGCTCTGCCGCACCACTCACCTGCTCTGCCGCACCACTCACCTGCTCTGCCGCACCACTCACCTGCTCTGCCGCACCACTCACCTGCTCTGCTGCACCACTCACCTGCTCTGCCGCACCACTCACCTGCTCTGCCGCACCACTCACCTGCTCTGCTGCACCACTCACCTGCTCTGCCGCACCACTCACCTGCTCTGCCGCACCACTCATCTGCTCTGCCGCACCACTCACCTGCTCTGCCGCACCACTCACCTGCTCTGCCGCACCACTCACCTGCTCTGCCGCACCACTCACCTGCTCTGCTGCACCACTCACCTGCTCTGCTGCACCAATCACCTGCTCTGCCGCACCACTCACCTGCTCTGCTGCACCACTCACCTGCTCTGCCGCACCACTCACCTGCTCTGCCGCACCACTCACCTGCTCTGCCGCACCACTCACCTGCTCTGTCGCACCACTCACCTGCTCTGCCGCACCACTCACCTGCTCTGCTGCACCACTCACCTGCTCTGCCGCACCACTCACCTGCTCTGCCGCACCACTCACCTGCTCTGCCGCACCACTCACCTGCTCTGCCGCACCACTCACCTGCTCTGCTGCACCACTCACCTGCTCTGCCGCACCACTCACCTGCTCTGCTGCACCACTCACCTGCTCTGCCGCACCACTCACCTGCTCTGCTGCACCACTCACCTGCTCTGCCGCACCACTCACCTGCTCTGCCGCACCACTCACCTGCTCTGCTGCACCACTCACCTGCTCTGCTGCACCACTCACCTGCTCTGCTGCACCACTCACCTGCTCTGCTGCACCACTCACCTGCTCTGCTGCACCACTCACCTGCTCTGCTGCACCACTCACCTGCTCTGCTGCACCACTCACCTGCTCTGCTGCACCACTCACCTGCTCTGCTGCACCACTCACCTGATCTGCCGCACCACTCACCTGCTCTGCCGCACCACTCACCTGCTCTGCTGCACCACTCACCTGCTCTGCTGTACCACTCACCTGCTCTGCTGCACCACTCACCTGCTCTGCCGCACCACTCACCTGCTCTGCTGCACCACTCACCTGCTCTGCCGCACCACTCACCTGCTCTGCCGCACCACTCACCTGCTCTGCCGCACCACTCACCTGCTCTGCCGCACCACTCACCTGCTCTGCCGCACCACTCACCTGCTCTGCTGCACCACTCACCTGCTCTGCCGCACCACTCACCTGCTCTGCTGCACCACTCACCTGCTCTGCCGCACCACTCACCTGCTCTGTCGCACCACTCACCTGCTCTGCCGCACCACTCACCTGCTCTGCCGCACCACTCACCTGCTCTGTCGCACCACTCACCTGCTCTGCCGCACCACTCACCTGCTCTGCCGCACCACTCACCTGCTCTGCTGCACCACTCACCTGCTCTGCCGCACCACTCACCTGCTCTGCTGCACCACTCACCTGCTCTGCCGCACCACTCACCTGCTCTGTCGCACCACTCACCTGCTCTGCCGCACCACTCACCTGCTCTGCCGCACCACTCACCTGCTCTGCTGCACCACTCACCTGCTCTGCTGCACCACTCACCTGCTCTGCCCCACCACTCACCTGCTCTGCCGCACCACTCACCTGCTCTGCCGCACCACTCACCTGCTCTGCCGCACCACTCACCTGCTCTGCTGCACCACTCACCTGCTCTGCCGCACCACTCACCTGCTCTGCTGCACCACTCACCTGCTCTGCTGCACCACTCACCTGCTCTGCTGCACCACTCACCTGCTCTGCTGCACCACTCACCTGCTCTGCTGCACAACTCACCTGATCTGCCGCACCACTCACCTGCTCTGCCGCACCACTCACCTGCTCTGCTGCACCACTCACCTGCTCTGCTGCACCACTCACCTGCTCTGCTGCACCACTCACCTGCTCTGCCGCACCACTCACCTGCTCTGCTGCACCACTCACCTGCTCTGCCGCACCACTCACCTGCTCTGCCGCACCACTCACCTGCTCTGCCGCACCACTCACCTGCTCTGCCGCACCACTCACCTGCTCTGCCGCACCACTCACCTGCTCTGCTGCACCACTCACCTGCTCTGCCGCACCACTCACCTGCTCTGCTGCACCACTCACCTGCTCTGCCGCACCACTCACCTGCTCTGTCGCACCACTCACCTGCTCTGCCGCACCACTCACCTGCTCTGCCGCACCACTCACCTGCTCTGTCGCACCACTCACCTGCTCTGCCGCACCACTCACCTGCTCTGCCGCACCACTCACCTGCTCTGCTGCACCACTCACCTGCTCTGCTGCACCACTCACCTGCTCTGCCGCACCACTCACCTGCTCTGCTGCACCACTCACCTGCTCTGCCGCACCACTCACCTGCTCTGTCGCACCACTCACCTGCTCTGCCGCACCACTCACCTGCTCTGCCGCACCACTCACCTGCTCTGCTGCACCACTCACCTGCTCTGCTGCACCACTCACCTGCACTGTCGCACCACTCACCTGCTCTGCTGCACCACTCACCTGCTCTGCCGCACCACTCACCTGCTCTGCCGCACCACTCACCTGCTCTGCTGCACCACTCACCTGCTCTGCCGCACCACTCACCTGCTCTGCTGCACCACTCACCTGCTCTGCTGCACCACTCACCTGCTCTGCTGCACCACTCACCTGCTCTGCTGCACCACTCACCTGCTCTGCTGCACCACTCACCTGCTCTGCTGCACCACTCACCTGCTCTGCTGCACCACTCACCTGCTCTGCTGCACCACTCACCTGCTCTGCTGCACCACTCACCTGCTCTGCTGCACCACTCACCTGCTCTGCCGCACCACTCACCTGCTCTGCCGCACCACTCACCTGCTCTGCTGCACCACTCACCTGCTCTGCTGCACCACTCACCTGCTCTGCTGCACCACTCACCTGCTCTGCTGCACCACTCACCTGCTCTGCTGCACCACTCACCTGCTCTGCTGCACCACTCACCTGCTCTGCTGCACCACTCACCTGCTCTGCTGCACCACTCACCTGCTCTGCTGCACCACTCACCTGATCTGCCGCACCACTCACCTGCTCTGCCGCACCACTCACCTGCTCTGCTGCACCACTCACCTGCTCTGCTGCACCACTCACCTGCTCTGCTGCACCACTCACCTGCTCTGCCGCACCACTCACCTGCTCTGCTGCACCACTCACCTGCTCTGCCGCACCACTCACCTGCTCTTCCGCACCACTCACCTGCTCTGCCGCACCACTCACCTGCTCTGCCGCACCACTCACCTGCTCTGCCGCACCACTCACCTGCTCTGCTGCACCACTCACCTGCTCTGCCGCACCACTCACCTGCTCTGCTGCACCACTCACCTGCTCTGCCGCACCACTCACCTGCTCTGTCGCACCACTCACCTGCTCTGCCGCACCACTCACCTGCTCTGCCGCACCACTCACCTGCTCTGTCGCACCACTCACCTGCTCTGCCGCACCACTCACCTGCTCTGCCGCACCACTCACCTGCTCTGTCGCACCACTCACCTGCTCTGCCGCACCACTCACCTGCTCTGCCGCACCACTCACCTGCTCTGCTGCACCACTCACCTGCTCTGCTGCACCACTCACCTGCTCTGCTGCACCACTCACCTGCTCTGCCGCACCACTCACCTGCTCTGCCGCACCACTCACCTGCTCTGTTGCACCACTCACCTGCTCTGTTGCACCACTCACCTGCTCTGCCGCACCACTCACCTGCTCTGCCGCACCACTCACCTGCTCTGCTGCACCACTCACCTGCTCTGCTGCACCACTCACCTGCTCTGCTGCACCACTCACCTGCTCTGCTGCACCACTCACCTGCTCTGCTGCACCACTCACCTGCTCTGCTGCACCACTCACCTGCTCTCGGGCATCTCTGCACCCCCTAAACCTCCTTAACAACTGAGGCTCAACACCCTTTCTCTTCCTTGCACCTCCATCACTCCCTCTATGTCGCTCGCTGCCCTTCGTGTCTCTCTCTTTCTATCCCAGCCCAATGGTGGAAGTGAAGCTTGTCCCGGTCAGCATCCAACCAATCAATCTGTTGGCGTAACCACGGTGCTGAATGGCGAAAATTGGTCACACTTGACGATCAGTCGAGCAAGAGCGATTGTCCCCGGCGAGACGATATCAACGGCTCTCTTTGCGCGGGCAAAGAAAAAGGTCGGTCGTACGAGTGCGTACGCGTTGGTGCATGTACGGTTATGTACATATGCGTCGCGTACGAGTGTGTACGGTAGGTAGACGCACTACGTGCATGAAGGCATGCGTACGCATGCATACGTATGTCTACGCGCATCTAGGTTAAACAGGTAGGTACCAGACATGCGAGTATTCATGCGTATACGCATGCAGATGCGCACGTTCCTTAATATTCAGCTCATTATTCCAGAGCTAATTTGTCATTGATTTGTTGACCTACATGCATAAGCTCCAGATCACACAAATAGATTTGTCAACTAACATGTGTAGCTTGTAAATCAGCAAAATCAATTCTGTTTACTGCCATGTGGAAAGCTGTAGTTTTGCAAGATACTGTTTTGCTGTTCTCGTTTTGGGCACAGCTGACGAGCGAAACCTATTCGCGCTGCGAATTTGTCACTGTAAATGCTGGCACATTCACTTTGGGTCGCACTCGCTGTATCGGAGTGTCGGACTGCATATACGCAGGGCACCCAAACCGACTTTCCGACTTTGTCACTGCGCTGCCGACGTAGCACTGTGCAGAACGCTACTTCAGTACATCCACTTTGCACCACGAACCCACGTTCGTTCAGGGGGACCAAGCAAGCCAGAAAGTGCATGAAACGTGATGTGAGTGGGCTGCGCTCACAATCGCTCACCTAACTCCCACTCCCGTTTTTCAGACCTCGATTCTTATCATCCGCCACTCTATCTCAACTCAACATCCGAGCCTCTCTTCTAGATCGCCCTCCGCCATGGGGCATGGCATCACCATTTCGTAAGCCTGCTTTCTTAGTCGCAGTCACGCTATCGTAGTTTCGTTTTTCGTGATTTCGTTTGCTATTTTTTTTTTTTCCAGATCTCGTTTCAATCTCAAGCCATTCTACTCAAGAGCGCAGCCTCTCTTTTGGATCGCCATCCGCCATGGGCCATGGCATTAGTATTTCGTAAGCCCGCTTTCTTACTCACGCTATCTTCAGTCTTGTTTCCAGTAATTTCGTTTTCTTCGTAGATTCCCTCTTCTTAGCTCCGTTTGTTCCGATTTCTGCTTGTCCTTGTTCGTGCTGACGTGTGCATGGTCATGGCAGGCACGCTGCAGCCAGCACAAGCTCGTCATCTGCCGTTCCAGGAGCCAGCAGCAATGCGGCATTCCACATCCAAAATCTGCCACCAAACATGGCGATTTCCGTTTAGCTCCGCTTCAGGGCGCCGATGCCACGCCGCTGTCACGCCGCCGATTGCCATGCCGCTGACACGCCAACGACAACGACGGCGCTGCTCATGGCGCTCTGGGGAACGTTGAGACATCCAGGCCACCCTCTCCCCTCCCCTTTCTGCCAGGTACCAGTGCAGCGCTTGCCCATTTGAGCATGTCTCACCCACCCCCTCCCCTCTTTCCCCACTTCCCCCCTTCTGCCAGGTGCCTTCCCATGCCCTGCATGGTGCCTTCTCATGCCCTGCCCGGTAAATTCTCATGCCCTGCATGGTGCCTTGGCATGCCCTGCCAGGTGCATTCGCATTCCCTGCATGGTGCCTTCTCATTTCCTGCCAGGTAAGGGGGTAAGGGGGTTTAGGGTGCTCCCCCCGCTCACTTGCCCTGCTCCCCCCGCTCACTTGCTCTGCTCCCCCACCCCAACTCCTCCCCTCCCCTTGCGCAGGTGTCAGTTTCTCCTGTCGCCAAGATGAAGATACTTTGCACAGGGAGCAGATGCGTTGCCAGCTGCTTGTGTGGCCGTCCCTGTTCATCCATGCGCAAAACATGAGAGAGAACAAGGGAGAGAAACAGAAGCAGGAGGAGGGAGCGCAGCGCCATGCCATGCCGCATGGCCCACCAAACCAGCCCCAGGTGCGTTGTGAGTCATTTGACCAATCCCCTCCTCTGTCCCCTTTGTTTTGAGTCATTTGACCAATCCCCTCCTCTCTCCTCTTTGTTTTGAGTCATTTGACCAATCCCCTCCTCTCTCCCCTCTGTTTTGAGTCATTTGACCAATCCCCTCCTCTCTCCTCTTTGTTTTGAGTCATTTGACCAATCCCCTCCTCTCTTCCCCCTGTTTTGAGTCATTTGACCAATCCCCTACTCTCTCCCCTCTGTTTTGAGTCATTTGACCAATCCCCTCCTCTCTCCTCTTTGTTTTTGGTCATTTGACCAATCCCCTCCTCTCTTCCCCCTGGTTTGAGTCATTTGACCAATCCCCTACTCTCTCCCCTCTGTTTTGAGTCATTTGACCAATCCCCTCATCTCTCCTATTCGTTTTGAGTCATTTAACCAATTCCCTCCTCTCTCCTCCTTGTTTCGAGTCATTTCACCAATCCCCTCCTATCTCTCCTCTTTGTTTTGAGTCTTTTGACCAATCCCCTCCTCTCTCCCCTCAGTTTTGAGTCATTTCACCAATCCCCTCCTCTCTCCTCTCTGTTTTGAGTCATTTGACCAATCCCCTCCTCTCTCCTATTTGTTTTGAGTCATTTGTCCAATCCCCTCCTCTCTCCTATTTGTTTTGAGTCATTTGACCAATCCCCTCCTCTCTCTCTGTTTTGAGTAATTTCACCTATCCCCTCCTCTCTCCTCTTTGTTTCGACTCATTTGACCAATCCCCTCCTCTCTCCCCTCAGTTTTGAGTCTTTTCACCAATCCCCTCCTCTCTCCTCTTTGTTTTGAGTCATTTGACCAATCCCCTCGTCTCTCCCCTCTGTTTTGAATCATTTGACCAATCCCCTCCTATCTCCCCTCTGTTCTGAGTCATTTGACCAATCCCCTCTTCTCTCCCCTCTGTTTTGAGCCATTTGACCAATCCCCTCCTCTCTCCCCTTTGTTTTGAGTAATTTGACCAATACCTTCCTCTCTCCTCTTTGTTTTGAGTCATTTGACCAATCCCCTCCTCTCTCCGCTCTGTTTTGAGTCATTTGACCAATCCCCTCCTCTCTCCTCTTTGTTTTGAGACATTTGACCAATCCCCTCCTCTCTTCCCCCTGTTTTGAGTCATTTGACCAATCCCCTACTCTCTCCCCTCTGTTTTGAGTAATTTGACCAATCCCCTCTTCTCTCCTCTTTGTTTTGAGTCATTTGACAAATCCCCTTCTCTCTTCCCCCTGTTTTGAGTCATTTTACCAATCCCCTACTCTCTCCCCTCTGTTTTGAGTCATTTGACCAATCCCCTCATCTCTCCTATTCGTTTTGAGTCATTTAACCAATTCCATCCTCTCTCCTCTTTGTTTCGAGTCATTTCACCAATCCCCTCCTCTCTCTCCTCTTTGTTTTGAGTCATTTGACCAATCCCCTCCTCTCTCCCCTCAGTTTTGAGTCATTTCACCAATCCCCTCCTCTCTCCTCTCTGTTTTGAGTCATTTGACCAATCCCCTCCTCTCTCCTCTTTGTTTTGAGTCATTTGACCAATCCCCTCCTCTGTCATATTTGTTTTGAGTCATTTGACCAATCCCCTCCTCTCTCCCCTCTGTTTTGAATCATTTGACTTATCCCCTCCTCTCTCCCCTCTGTTTTGAGTCATTTGACCAATCCCCTCTTCTCTCCCCTCGGTTTGAGCCATTTGACCAATCCCCTCCTCTCTCCTCTTTGTTTTGAGTCATTTGACGAATCCCCTCCTCTCTCCTATTTGTTTTGAGTCATTTGACCAATCCCCTCCTCTCTCTTTGTTTTGATTCATTTCACCTATCCCCTCCTCTCTCCTCTTTGATTTGACTCATTTGACCAATCCCCTCCTCTCTCCCCTCAGTTTTGAGTAATTTGACCAATCCCCTCCTCTCTCCTCTTTGTTTTGAGTAATTTGACCAATCCCCTCCTCTCTCCTCTTTGTTTTGAGTCATTTGACCAATCCACTCCTCTCTCCCCTCTGTTTTGAATCATTTGACCAGTCCCCTCCTCTCTCCCCTCTGTTTTGAGTCATTTGACCAATCCCCTCTTCTCTCTCCTCTGTTTTGAGCCATTCGACCAATCCCATCCTCTCTCCTCTTTGTTTTGAGTCATTTCACCAATCCCCTCCTCTCTCCCCTTTGTTTTGAGTCATTTGACCAATCCCCTCCTCTCTCCTCTTTGTTTTGAGCCATTTGACCAATCCCCTCCTCTCTCCCCTCTGTTTTGAGTCATTTGACCAATCCCCTCCTCTCTCCTCTTTGTTTTGAGTCATTTGACCAATCCCCTCCTCTTTTCCCCCTGTTTTGAGTCATTTGACCAATCCCCTACTCTCTCCCCTCTGTTTTGAGTCCTTTGACCAATCCTCTCCTCTCTCCTCTGTTTTGAGTCATTTGAACAATCCCCTCCTCTCTCATATTTGTTTTGAGTCATTTGACCAATCCCCTCCTCTCTCCCCTCTGTTTTGAATCATTTGACTAATCCCCTCCTCTCTCCCCTCTGTTTTGAGTCATTTGACCAATCCCCTCTTCTCTCCCCTCGGTTTTGAGCCATTTGACCAATCCCCTCCTCTCTCCTCTTTGTTTTGAGTCATTTGACCAATCCCCTCCTCTCTCCTATTTGTTTTGAGTCATTTGACCAATCCCCTCCTCTCTCTTTGTTTTGAGTCATTTCACCTATCCCCTCCTCTCTCCTCTTTGTTTTGAGTCATTTGACCAATCCCCTCCTCTCTCCCCTCTGTTTTGAATCATTTGACCAGTCCCCTCCTCTCTCCCCTCTGTTTTGAGTCATTTGACCAATCCCCTCTTCTCTCCCCTCTGTTTTGAGCCATTTGACCAATCCCCTTCTCTCTCCTCTTTGTTTTGAGTCATTTCACCAATCCCCTCCTCTCTCCCCTTTGTTTTGAGTCATTTGACCAATCCCCTCCTCTCTCCTCTTTGTTTTGAGCCATTTGACCAATCCCCTCCTCTCTCCCCTCTGTTTTGAGTCATTTGACCAATCCCCTCCTCACTCCTCTTTGTTTTGAGTCATTTGACCAATCCCCTCCTCTCTTCCCCCTGTTTTGAGTCATTTGACCAATCCCTTACTCTCTCCCCTCTGTTTTGAGTCCTTTGACCAATCCTCTCCTCTCTCCTCTGTTTTGAGTCATTTGACCAATCCCCTCCTCTCTCCTATTTGTTTTGAGTCATTTAACCAATTCCCTCCTCTCTCCTCTTTGTTTTGAGTCATTTGACAAATCCCCTCCTCTCTCCCCTCTGTTTTGAGTCATTTCACCAACGC